TATATATAATATATATATATATACATATATATATATATATATATATATATATATATATATATATATATATATATATATATATATACATCATATAATATGTATATATATGTAGATTATGTAGATATATATGTAGATTATGTATCTGTAGGTATGGGTGGGTTGTAAGTGAGGACACAAATGCCTATGCCTCTTGCTGTGTCATTGAGTGATAAATACTTCCCATATTCTCTTTAATCTGGTTAGTTGTAGCTCTTTTGGATCATAGTGTGGACCTACATTCCTAAAAACCTGTAATGATATATATTTGTGTTTTGAAACATGAAATTCAAGCCAAATGTGTGTAAGGTTGATATGTATACAGAATATGTATAGACACATTCTTGTTTGTCTTGTGTGTATGTGTAAAAGTGTGGGTATAGATATTTTGAATTGTTTACCTTCCAGTAAACCTAATATTTTATCAGAAAATATGAAATATCAGCCTAGGCAATTTTACTTGTCGGTGTCATGTATGATTTAGATTTTGCCAAAAGTCTATATATTATATGGCATAATTACTGTCAAAAGAAAATATGTAATTGAATTTTTCTTTCTACTTTCATCTTTTTTCTTGCTTCACTATTTCTGTTACCTCAGTTAAGATGTACTCCTTTTGTATAGAATCATGTTCTAATTTCTTTCAATAAGATTAAACATCAGAAAGTTCTTCATCGTTACGTGATTGCGTGCATATTTTATTGCTATAAAGATTGATGAGATTGTTTTGTCTCTATGCTATGGTAGATATGATATAAGCAAATGGTCATTGATATTTTGTGCATATTCACTTGTTGCATCTCATAATATGAAAAGAAGAAAATACTGCGATACTATAAGAACAGTATGAGTATGTCTGTCTATATTTTTATATATATATATATAATTGTATATACATGCATACATGATAGTATCTCAGGGAGACTAGATAATTTGGGAGTGACATGTTAAGGTTCTTGCCCACCTTATAGCGTGGAGGAAGTCGTCGTGCTCGAAAGCGTTACAAGGTTCGCCAGAAACAGCGTATTCTGACCTCAGAGCAACTGCAGAAGGTGGCAGCCCTTCAGTGCCTCATGTCTGCTTCTGATGAGGTAAAGCACAATGCACTTAAGCGATGAATTGAGTCACCCATGCAGCAATACCCTTGCCACCCTGGCCAGATTGTTTTGCCATGTTTGATATATGCAACTTTGCAAGGGATATATGCTAGCATGAGGGATTTTTTTATTTTGGGTGTATAACCTGAGTAAAGGAAACCTTCCCTTCTAGAGATGATATTACTGTGTATAGTTTTTGTACCATTTTCGTTTCCTTAAGAGAACCTATCCTCACTGTTTTTTCCCCCTTTCTCTCTCACTTTCTAGCTCTTTGTCATATCTCCCATTTTCTTCTGATCTACAGCGATATGATCTTGAGAGCCTCATAGAAGAACTCTGTGTACGCCTGAAGACTGCTGCAGAAAACGAGCACAACGTGACTAACAGCACCACCCCTTGTAATAACAAATCCATTGCACGGAAAGGAGGATCGCAAGAGAGTATTAATGACACAGATGACTCAGCATCAACATCAACGCCGGAAGAACAAGCTGAGAAGTGAGTGTTTGGCAAGTGTAAAAAGTTATCTTTTTATGTTATAATTATTATTATTTACTCTATTTACCTTATATTACTTTTCTTTTAGTGTTAGTGATGTATCAAGAAAAGTGCCATGGTATATGAATTATGGGTGAATCGATAAACTTTAGCTTTCACACTTTACATAGATGCTTTTCTTTTTAGGTACTATGCAGCCTTTCCACCCCTAAGTAAAAACTGTAAGGAGAACTGCATCCGTGAGAAGCAATGGCAGCCAGGAAAGGCACTATGCTCATGTGTTTGGGAGAACCAGAAACCTTCATTTTCCTCAAGTCGTGAAACCCTAAAGCTGAGCAGTAGTAAGATGCCTCGCTCTCACCGCAAGAAGGGTCGTGAGAAGGAGAAGAAGAAGGAAGCGGAGGCCAAGTTTGATGTGCCTGAGGGTCACGAGGGCAGCAGGAGACATCACCATGTGTCATTCACATGGCATGCAGCCTCCAAGCACCGCGATTCCAAGTTGAGTGAGAGCTACGACACAGATAGTGCCTCGGAGCATGAACGCAGCGGTGAGAGGAGGAGGAAGAAGTTCCTGGGCCCCCTCTTGGACGAGGACATTGGTGAAGGCTACATTGGAGATACAAGTTCACGTGAGAGTTCTGAAGACCGAGACAAGGGTGAGCAGGATCAGGAGAAGGGAAAAGGAGACAAAGGTGATAAGAATTATGGGTCATCTGTGCAGGAGAAGAACAGGGCAAGCCAGGAAGAATGGGAGTGCATGGGAGACCTGTTAATGGAACCAAATCAACATGGGAGTGGTGTGCCACTGACAAGTGGAGGTGGCCGTCTCTTTGAGCGTGGAAGCACCTCTGGGGGCACCAGCGGCTCCAGCAGCGATGTTGAGACATATCCCTATGCAACAGTAGACCAGGAGGCTGAGAGTGTGCGGCAGTTAGAGAGGAAAATTTCAGATACGGTGGCACAGGTGTGGGGCCAGGCAAGTGAACATCTGGGTCATGGTCAAGGAGAACATGTGTGGGATCCCCCTTCTATGGAGGAGCTGACCCTCTACACTGCCATATGTGGCTTGGGTTTCCCTGATCCACACGGAACCCAAGACTTGGCTGCCATCGAGCAGATACCATGCAGTGAAACTGTCCATGCATCTTTGATATCAAATATCGAAGGATGGCAGCAGAGTCAGTCTTGGCAAGCCCTTGATCTAATCACCCAAAATGACCCTCTCCTGTGTAACATTAGTTGCCAAAGCCCACAGGAGAGTCACAAGGTTGATGCTGGAAAGGATGCCAGCGCCCTCATTCACCTGACCAGTAGCCTAGAAAAATCCATTTGGTCTGACTGTAATGCCAACAATATCTCTGGCAGTGAGGGCACCTTGTCAGCTTGCATAGAGGATCCTCACCTCAGCAACATTTTAGAGAGTAGAAAAAGCGACAGCTGCCACACAACCGAGGAGCTGGAGAATAAATTATGTGAGTCATTCATGAAGCTAGGCTTGGAAAATCTATGGGAAAATACTCTAGGCCTGGAAGGTGTGTTTGAGGACCCTAGTGTAAATAATTGTAACTTAGAATATATATCTGAAAATAAAAGTGGCGAAGGAGTTCGAACAGATTCAGAACATGAGAAGATGATGGCCCTTGTGGAAGATGTATGTAAAAGCTATGAGTCACAAGAAGAAAGCGCTTTGGATAGCTCGCTGCTGAAGCAGCTGCCGTCTGGCCCAACAGGGCCTCAGGCTGATCTGCATCACACTGAAAGCAGTGGGTTCTCTATGGTGGTTCCTCGTGGCAAAAGCACTGAACTTGGGGCCCCTCCTGACCCCCTTACAGAAAGTATGTTGTTAGGCCATAGCCATGCTGGACACCTTGGGAATATGGACACTTTACCTCTCGGCCAGGATGAGGAAAACTTGCTCACTTCTCCTCGAACACACTTCAGGCCCATCCGTCAGGAAAGCATTGGGAGCACAGCAGACGACCACTATGAGGATGGGACAATGTTCATCATCAACTCGGAGCGGCCAGATCTGCCCTTCCAGAGGACGAGCAGTGGGGCCTTATTCCTAGAGAGTGACCTGCTTGAAGGTTCACCCAAGAAGTACATGGTGTACAAGGAACCTGTGCCTAAGGTTGCTCCACCAGATGAGGAGGAAGAACTTGTCTCCCATAACCCCTATCCAGCTGTTGCATTAATACCTAAATTCAAAGTAGTCAATAATGAGAAGTTCTGCCAAACAGAGACAGCAACTGCTACTACCAATGGGAGGCCTTCCACCATCAGTGAAAAGCGGGCTTCATATGAAACAGGTGGGATCATTGAAGGCTTTGGCCACAGCCAGGATGAGGAGCCAGATGTGTTTGAGTTCCAACACCAGGACTTCCCAGATAACAAAAATTTGGCACAAATTTGGAAGAATGAGATCCAGACATCAGAAAGTTCATTCCCAAGAAATATATGGCATATCAACACTGACTGTGATGGAGGAGACGGATGGCCCCATTTGCACGAGCTAGAGGGAGCTGGCCTCTCTGGCAGTGCCTGGTTAAGCAGGGGAGGGGAAGGTGGCGCTGTAGGCTGGAGCAGTGAGGGTCACTTTGAGACCCCTGCTGAAGTGATGATGAATCAGAGGTCGGAGGCACTAGCTTCTCTCTGGCATTGCGACAGCCCTTCTGCTTCCCCATCCTTCCCTGCATCCATCCCTAATCTTCAAGCTCTTTGGACTGATGCAAATCCACATGCTATAGATAATACTGATCCAGATACAGGCAGATCTAAAATGTATATTATAACTAATCCAACAACTCATATTCCCGAAAACTGCAGTGTCATGTCTTCTCTAGCAGAAGTCAGTCCTTGGAAACCTGGAAGCACATGTAGTATGGAAAGCAGTGTGAAAAATAGAAGGGACCAGCTTTGGGCTGAGAAGTCATTGGCAAGCCATCATCGTACTCTACTTCAAGAAGTCAGTTTTAGTAAAAGGTGGGTGTTACTTGTAGGAAGTGTTTTATACAAGTGTATATATATATACATGTGAAAGAGGACATTTTATATAACTATCTTTGTAACATGTATGAAGATCTGTTAACTTTTTTTTACCTATTTCTTTCAGGAGTGATGATGCAAGCAGCAGTAATAATATAGATATCCCAGGGGTTTGTCCAGAGTTAAGGTTAGAAGTTGACCAAGAGGCAGATGAACTCTTGGGAGCAGTTCATGCTCAGACCTCGAGCAACCTCTCTCACTGCCAAACCCATCTACCTAGTGGCCGCTCCCTGCTACCAGACCACCATTCACCCCGTCCCCTGCATGAACGGCTAAAAAAATGTAGTTCAGGAAATCCTGTGAGCAAGACTACACCTTCTGTTATACCCGATTATAAGTTTAAGGGGGAAGACCTTGAGCGAGAGGACCTGGATGATTTGGCTCCAGGATGGGAGCTCAATGATGGCTTTGAGTGGGAACCCCAGACCTCTGGAGACCCTGACGACGAGGTAAGAGGGAATTCCTGATCCTAGCATTACTACTCTTGCTACTACCTTTTCCGCATTCATTCTCCCACATTGTACGTTGTGTATTCTGTGTAACCTACCGAACATTGTCTAGTAAAGCACCTCAAGAGCAGTTATTATTACCTGGATTGCATGTTCTATTTTTAAGAGCACTGGAGAGGGATATTCATAATGTATCTGTTATTAATTTTCAGGGAAATGTCTTTACAAAATTGAATTTATAGATTCTGGTATTCATGTTTCCTCTTAACCCACTAGCAATGGGTGTCTCATATATGAGACACCGGAAAAAATAAACATTGCCGGGCGTTTCGCCAATATGACGTTGTATTGGGGCTCGCGCTCCGACTCAGCAGTGGGCTGTGGCCTGCGGGCGGACATACTCTGGGGAAGCTCCACCCGCCGATTTTGTAGCCGCCCGGAATATTTTATTTTTGGCTTCAAAATATACCGGCGTGAATGGGTTAACAATAGACAGCATTGCATACCTTACTAAAATAAAGTACAATTTTTGTTCCTGGGGTTTTGAAGAGAGGAACCTTTAACAAGTCTAAGTCTTGAGGACTAGGAAAATTCACAGTACCAAAATCCACCATTTTGATATCATTAATCTTTTCTGTGATATTACAGGAGTGTCCAGATGGATTAGGGGATGATGATGATGGGGAAAGTGGAGAGGTTCTCTTGTATGAGACAGAGGATGGCACAACGTACACTATCCCTGTGGAGTACCTGGATGACACCCTCTATGACCAGATATTTGGTGCCACGGAACCTGCCACTCAGCGCCTTGGAGGGTCCCTGCCTGATCTGCCATCAGGCCACCCCGCTGCTATACGGTTCTCTAGTGAATTAGAAGACGAATGGAAGAAGAGTGGTATTCCTTATAAGGTGAGCTTAGAAGGTTGACAACTTGTCCCCCCCAACTTTGTGAAGCACTCCATTTTTAATAACTGAAGTTGTAAGTTTGGTATATGTCATCTGCTTACTTTTAGTTCCTTTTTTCAGATCCAATTAGTTTAAGAGCAATAATTTCTTGTTTAGAGATGAATTATTTACCCCTACAATCTGGATAACATGACCATCATGCTATGAAAAAACTGGGCTTGAGGGGTGGTTGACATGAACATCGCCATGGGAAAATTTGACCAAGGGCTAGGATGAAGTGAATTTGCTGTCATGAGAATTTCAGCTGAAGGCCAAGATACCTAGAATGACTTGCCACTAGTGCACAAAGCTTTTGGAGGGTGATTAGACTTGATGCACATTTAGGAAGGGGCTTTTGCTTTGATTTCCAATGATAAATAAGTGTGGAATGTACTGTTCATGAGCCATTACAGGAAGAGTACTGCCTCTTGGGAGGATGCTATTTCCATGCTCAGGATCTTATTCCAGGTAGTGCTGTTTGTATTAAAGATAATTGAATATTACAAAAAGAATTAGAAAGGACAAAAATGAGATAATATGAAGTCTGTGCAAGGTAAAGTCTATTACCATTTGGATAAAACAAATCAAAAGACAGATACAGACATTGGAAAATGGCAAAAAAGGGGGGAGGGGAATTAAAAAGAAAAAAGGGGAAAAAACGCTAAAAATACTTACGCTGAAAAAGAAAGTGATATTGCACAGGAGGCATAGAGCTTTGTTACGGAACATGTGTTTGTGTCCACCCAGCCCACAAGCTGCGCACCAGTCAGAGTGGCCACGCAAGTAAGCCTAATACTCGTATTTTGGACCATGCAATGGCTGTAAAGCATCTGGATCCAATACATTCAGCAATAACTAAGCTCAATTTTCCATAGTTTTGTAATCCAGATTGAAATAAAAGTACTACTTCACCATTTTTTACTAGTAGAAGTTGAAGATATTTATGCAATTTCATTTTATATTTGATGAACGATTGGAATAGTATCTATAATTATTGATGAGAATATCATAAAGAATGTGAAACAATCTGTGATTATTCCATAATTCATTAATTATTAGTATAATTAAAAAAGGCAGATACCTTTGATATAAGCAAGCTGAAATGTTACTGAAATGTTTCAAAGTACTGCACTGGAAGTGACTTTAATTGCCATTGCCAATACTAACATAAATAACTTACTGTATATTTACTTTTGATTATTAGTATGTACTGCAGCTACCATTTCTGATTAACATGATTTGAAATTTGCCATCACATCAGACGTGAAGGAAGGCACTAGAAATTGATGAGGTTGTATACAGTTACCATAGGTAACTGGATATAAAGTAGGACTCCCTACTGAGAAGTTGAAACATTTAATTTTTCAATTAACAATTCTTTGGTTGGTTGCTAAATCAAGAAGTATAGTTATCCTAAGATATACAGTCATATCTTATTATCTATATATATTGTTGATCTTGTTAGCTTAAGGAAGAAGTGACTTGCTTTTATAAATGACTTAACTAGTTTATCGTTTCTGCAGGTCCAATTACCACGAAAGCCAAGGCCTGGGAGGTGGATACCCCCTTCTCGGCGGCCCTGTACCTTCTTTATGGAAGGAAGCTGTCGTCGCAGTGACTGCAAATTCTCTCACGACCTGTCGTCCATTACCTGCAGGTTCTGGGAAGAGGGCTCTTGCCTGAAGGGCATCACCTGCCCCTTCCTGCACGGCTACCCCCTGTATGTGGCTACTAATACCTCTCATCACCTCATCCTCTCTACTTATTATTTTTCTTCTAATCAGGGCATGGTTTCTCTTTCATTCTTTCTTTTTTCTCTTTTCCTTTCTTTTTGTAAAATGTTATAGGCTAGATGCACAAAAACACTTCTAAAGTCATTTCTGGTTTGCATGAAAGCTAGTGAAGAGACATTGAGACATGAACCAATTGGAGAAAGACAAAAGCAGACTTATGCTTAATCTATACATTGGGATTGATGGAATTTATTGCCATATATACCTTTAACTAATCTTGCCACTGAATTTGTTTTACAAGAGTTTTACAAGAGTGGTTTAATGGTCAGGCAAATACACTTTAACTAAGTTAGATTAGTTTACCTTATAATACTTGTTATCCATTTTAGAGAGAATTTTCAACAGTGTAACCAATGTTTGTGTAATGAAGAAGACCTCTTGATAGTTTAGTGATCTTGGAGGTAGTATTCAATAATATTTTCATATCAGCTAAAAAGGGAGCATGCTTGCATAACAAATAATCTTAAAGTGAGAGTTCCAGACAGGCGATAATCAAGTACACTTGCCTGCATAGTTACTTAATGTATATTTTGCAAATGATATCTCAGTCCTTTATTGGTTTAATTAGGAGAATGAACAATGCTTTTAAATACTTCACATCACTTGGTGAGTACTTCCTGTGGTTGGAAGCTTTGCCCCTTCCTACATGTACTTCATTTTTGGAAAGCTTTTTTGGAAGTGAATGTGAAACTTGTAAGCAATGCATGAGTAAAGGAGCTTGCACTTCACCCTTCAATGATAGGGAATAGTGAAAGTTACAGATGCAAATGACTTGCTGCAAAGTTGCAAACCAGTTATTAATTTGTATGGCATTATATTCCATGTCCATGAATATCTGGTCAGTTTAGAGTCCAAATAACATTGATTTTTTATTGTTTTTGTTTCCTGATTCCCACACATCCTACCATTCACATTCTTAATTATGTTTTATTTTTCAGAAAAGGGGAGTGGGAAATGTTACATAGTTTTAGTGATTATTATTAAATTGTTATAATTATTATCAAGACTTAACTTTATAGCATATCCTCTCCAGCTAAAATAGTCTCATCTGTGATGTTTTTGCATAACAAGATTCTGCCAAGTACAGTGAAATTCTTTATTTCTATGCAATTTACATGGTTCAAATTGGTATTGGATTTTGACAACAGATTTACAATAGTTCAGTTCCCAGATATGCTACCTTGATTCTGGTATTTTAGGCTTTGAGAGTTTCATATCTTATGAACAAGTCTAATTTCTCAATACTCAGTGTGTACAAGATGTCATGGTGTATATTCATTCCTTTAAAAAAGGAGTAATCACAGTCATACATTTATGTGAGAACCTTTGGCATAACCAAGAGGGAGAAGAAGCACAAAGACCATGCCATACCCCTCAGCCCTTGGTTGCACAATAACTTAGAAAGAAAAAAGAAAGAAAGAGAAAGGAAGAAAGAAAAAGTATACAGGGTCATAAAAATGCTGGTTTTGTCATCTACCCATTTTTACTTTGCAAAGTTATGTCAGTTGACAAGTAAATATAGTAAAGCAAGAAAGTTGGTGGTTGTTTTACTCTCTTCATACATAATGAAGGAAATTGATTATTCATTAAAAGGAAATAAGTACAGTGCTGTAGACCCCTACCCACTTCAGGTCAGTGGTAAATCCAAGCCAGAATTGAAAAATCTATATTTGCATAACAAATTAAATCTACATTGCTGAATATGTAAATACTCTTCCTTTTATTTAAAATAGATTGATGAAACCTTGTGATATCCTAGGTATTAGTTTCTTTTTTCTTTATTAAACTTAATTTGCTCATACAGAAAATTAGAATGGGAACAACAAATTGAAACCCAACACTTTTCTTTTTGTTTGTTTGTTTTTTCTTCCATACTTTCCCTAGAAATCATTACTTTCCTGTCACTGCTGCTTTGCTGTATTAAAAAATAGGTTCACTACAAAAAGTACCTTCACCATCTTCATATAACAAACACCAAAGCTTCTGTTGACATAATCTGACTCATCGTCTTTTTCATTTAATCAATTGTTGCTGTAATTGATATTACTCGTTGTTGGCCCCTCTTTAAGAAAGAAGCTGATATTGGTTGTGTTGCATTCATTCTTATCTCATTGATGACTAACCATTAGACTAATGGAAGTTACCTTTGTCTTTGTTATCAAGTGTTGTCCTGGTTCTCTCCCCTTGTTGGTTATCCCTCTCCCCTCATGGTTTGAATCCCCCTAAAAAATTACGTGAATATTTTGTAGATGGGATGCTCTGACCATCACCATGTATTGGTTCTTGAAGTAGTGATTAACAGTCCTGTCTTACCCTTGAGAGCTGTAGTAAAATCAGCTTCCTTTTTCTATAGTCTGGTTATGATTTCATGTTTTTTATTTGATATTGAGGGTAGTAGATGTAGGAAATGGAAGATGTGATCAAGTGTGTCTTCTAACAAGATCTGTGCTCAACCCTCTCTCTCTTAGTTGATGCTGAAGGGAGGGATATTCCCATTGCTCTCCTGTGTTCTTATTGTGTATTAAAGTGTCTGCATTTATATACAGTTGTATTGTATGACAAACCTTCCTTTGAAAGGGTAGGATGTTGTCCATAACTGTGGACAGTGGATAATTTCTTGGCAAAATTTTAGAAAGTGACCTTAAAAATCATAGCGTGTGCTGGTGCATTACTTACAGTTTAAGAGGAAGACAAGTTATAGGGTATCATTACTTACATGCATGTCTTTTCTTTTCCCCACCCACCTGTTCTTTGAACAGACGTAGACGGCGCAACAAGAGTGAAGGTGCAGTACACAGCGAAGTGGACAGAGCCGAGCACCATAGTTCCTCCTTTGAAATAGACTCTGAGATGGACTTCCCTACCCTTGGGTCATCCTGTGAGAGTAAGGTAGGTCAAAATCAGATGGTTCAAGGTCAGGGTTTAAGGAATAAGAGAAGGTTTGATAATAGTACAGTAATGATCATAAATAGAGGTGGACTGGATATTCAAATCTGTATCAGCTTCACTTTTAGTATCCTCATCAACATCCACATTTGCATTTATCTATACAGATATCTTATAATTAGACACTACATGTTGGCTGAAAACAGAAAAGAGAGAGAGAGAAGTCAGGGCTGCTATAATTTTCTACTGGCAAACTGGGACATTATTTATTTACCAGGCATTTACATTATTATATTGCAGTATATTGTACTTTTGCAATAATTACAGTTTGTTTTATTTTGAAGTTATGAAACATTGTAATGAGATAGTATGGTTTGTTTGATATTAAAAAAAAAAAAAAATATTTATGATCATTAGTTATGAACTATTACTGAAAAATATCCACATCCCCATCTGTAGATACTGAAAATAGAAATCCACATCTGCATTCATAAATATTGAAAATTCAACATCCGGGCCACCTCTACTCACAATGCACTGTGTGGTTTATTTAATATCCACAGTTTGGTTTTGTGTATTTATATGGGAAGGAAATATTTATTTTTGTTTTTGGTTTTATTCTAATTTTATTTTATTCTTTTTTCATTTATAACCTTGCAGCCAGGATGTGCTGATGAGCGCATTCACCTGGCACCTAGCATAGGCAGCAGCTGTAGTAGTCAACACATTACCAGGAAAAAGAAACGGAAGTTTATCACGATAACAAAGAATGTTCTAGGAGAGGTTAGTATTTGTTGGTTATCCCCTTGGTCGATATTCAGGGGAGGACTAAACATTGCTTTTGCAACTTCATTTTCTTTCACTTCTCTCTCCTTCAAGCAGCAGTGTATGCTGCAGCATTGTATATCACATTATCTTTCATTGTGATTTGATCCTAGGAAGGCATTCTCAAAGGTAAAATGAAAGGAAATAATATAGATAATGGTTAATTAACAGGCAGATTGAGTATAATTTGCCATCCATTGAAATTCATAATGCACATCAAGTGAAGTTTGCTAAACCTGAAATGCTAGTTTGCAAATGTTTTATCCAAGTTACATGAAAGTTTTTAATGTTTTTCATTTCTAGAAAAAAAAGTATTCCTGTTAAAACAGTTATTGATTTCCCTCAGATTTTTTTTTTGTAAGATTTTGCTTTTTTCTTCATTTTGTTTCTTTCTTTTCCTCATCAGGGAGATGTTTCTTCCTACTGATATGCTTATCAAATCTTAAAATATTCCTACAAAAAAACAATGATTAAGCTTTGTGGATGTGTGCTTTATCCCTAAAGTCAGTTACAGTTAGAGGAGAATGATTATGATAATTATCTAATTATCTTTTTATAGAGCATAAAAAAAAAAAAAAAAAAAAAAAAAGTCTTATAAGAGTACTTTTCATCCTAAGGTAAAAAGTGCAGAAGCTGAGCGGGCCATTCGGCGTCGAGCGGCACTGAGGAGAGAGCGACGCCGACGCCACACGGACACAACCACCACCAACACTGAGCTGCACACTGCTGCGCCAAACAGCGATGCGCCTCCCCCAGTACAGCACAACCCGAACACCCTCAGAAAAGCTGAGCGCCACCGTGCCTCTGCCTCGGGCCATGAAGACGGCACTGTGTCGGATTATTGACAGTGTGTCGCCTAGTCGGGATTATACAATGTGTTGTTCTTTTCTTTTTTTATTTAATTTTTCTTTTATCTTTTTACTTTTTCTTTATTGATCTCTCTCTCTCACTCAACCAACAAGGCAGCGTGTGTGAAGCGGGATATTTTTTGGTGACATCGTGTTTCTGCCTGCAGTTGTATGGAACACCTGGGGCCAAACTGCTCAAGAACATTTTAGCATATTGAAAAATAGTTCAGACATTTGTTTAGCAGTTGTGCTGTCTGCACGGAACTGTGGCAGCACTCAAATCAGCTCTTGACACTCCAGCAAGAAGATAATGCCATTTATGGAGCAAGGAGTTCCAACATTTTTTATCATTATTATTATTATCATTATTATTATTATTGTTATTATTGTTATCATTATTATTGTTATAATTATTATCAGCAGTATTATTATTATATGAAAAGATAATTCATAAAAGGAAATGCCATTGACATTGTGAGCATACATGAGGAAGAATATGTTGACGTAGGAATCATATGAGTTTTGTAAGTGGAAACTTATATAGCAAGGCATCTTTTTTTTTGTTTTCAATTTGATGATTATCATTTTGTACGATTTTGTAATTGTCTACACTTTACTTCTGATTTACCTATTGGTATGTTTGAATATGTATTTTGTGGTGTTTATATGAGTAAAACTTTTTTTTTTTTTCTTAAACCAAGCTCTCTTGCAGTAGGCAGTGATAAGTTGCAACATTTCAGGGATTCTGTACTACTTTTGTGAAGAACAAATGAGCAACATGTTGAAAGTCATTGAATTCCACTGTACTATGCACAACATTAAACACAACAAAGTACTTGCTTCAATGTTGAACTTATCATAACCTTCACTGCTCGTGGCCTGTTTTAGAAAAAAAAAGGTCAGAAGATATATCCTTTAGTTAGCAGAAAGGACAAAATCATAAAGTCATACATTTTATACACCCCCTTTTCACTAGTGTTGTTCCAATATTTGTTGTGAACAGTAGATAGCAATCCAAACCGTTTTTCCCATTGGCCCATTTTTGTACAGCTTTTTGTACATTTTCTTTTCAAAGCTCCCTTACTTGTGGCCAGTACAACAGACCCTTCTGGTAAATTTTATCCAGTCCTCTGATTTTTTGTTAGGTCGGATATTTGCACTAGTTCCTGTAATCCAGGTTTGCAGCAGCAGCGCTTGAAAGAGAAGGAGCAGAAACTTTGTGGAGGCTGCAGTGCATATTTTTTATTATTATTTTATTATTATTATTATTATTATCATCATCATTATCATTATTATTATTATTATTGATACTATCATCATTAGGTAAAGTCATTGTTATTACTACTACTACTATCATGATTATTAATATCATCATCATCTAAAAAAAAAAATTATTATTAATTTGTTTTTCATTTTATTTTCTTGATAACATTAACTTTACTTTCTGAGAAATTCTTACTTTACCAATGTGAATAATTGTCATAGAAGTATGTAAAGAAAATCTCCTCCAAAAGTAACACAGCACATACATGTGTGGGTGTTTGTACATTCAGTTTCATTCTCGTGCTGTAGGTAGAGGAGTTACAGCATAAGAAAAAAGAAGACCCTAGTGGTTCCCCAATGGTGAACAGAGCATTAGTCATGTGGCTGGCTCTGCTCAAACATTCATGCGCTTGTGCATGTCCTATCTTTATGCTCTCGTGTGTCTATCCACACTTCCCAGCCTCTTGCTAGTGCGCTGTGGTTGATAAGTAGAAACAAGAGAGTAGTTAGGTCATGAGCATAATGTGTATGAAACTCCCTGTCACATAGAGTTAGAGATTTAGGTCTAACTCTGACAGTTCCAGCTCAACATTTAAAATGTGGAGTTGTTGATGCAGAAGCATGGGCTCAGGCGATCATGTCCCCTGCTTATGCATACGTTGGGCTCATTGTGTATTGATTTGCATGTGAAATCTGTTTTGTGGCACGGTAAAGGACTTTCAGCCATGCATGGCGGAGAAAACGAGGCCACTGTAAATAGACTTGAAGACTTGCCCTCAAGCGAGGACTAAGAGTTGGCTCGGTGTATGATGAGTGCCACATTAGGAGAACAGTGACGTGCCAATCCCTGAGTGATAGCTTGGTAGGTCCTCAGCGATACCCAACCATCACTCAGCTGCCTGTGGGCCTCACAACATGATCCCTGTTCTCTCTTGTTTTTCTACTGTATTAGGATGTTACTTTAAACCAGGAGTGTGTGAGTGTGAGGAGGTTGCTGAATAAGCCTTCACAAGTTCTTTTGTTATTTCTGAGTAACATCACGTTGGCAAAGATACTCCTTCTAGTCAAGCAACCCAAAGTGTTATTAGTTCTTTTGAGTTACTTTCTAAATCTGTGAGGTCACAAACTTCTGTTTTAAGAGAAATTAGGATTCTTTTGCAGTACATCTGCAAAACTGATCAGTAGACTCATGTTTTAAGTTTGTGGAATCTCACATGTGTGAGTATGATAAACATGTATTTTATGGCATTTTTTGTCCTTTTAACAAGAAGCAATAATGTAATAAGATGAAAATAAAGAGAGAACACGAAGAGAAGTTGTGTTTAAGTATATACCATGGATTTTTTACTTTTTTACAAGTTGACAGTTTTTTTACAAAAAAATGGTACATGAGCGTGACCCATGAATGTGATGAAGTAAAAACTCCCTTTTAACTTAAAAGCAAGGAAAAGGTGAAAATTCCCTGAATGTCTAAGGAGGTTGGGAATAAGTGTTTTAGTATCAGGAATGTTGTTTTTTTCCCCTCGGCTGTTAATGCAGGGGGTGCATTGAAAGACTCAAATAAAAAGAACATCACAAAGCTTCCCATTATAACGAGAGAAAAAATGGTGTGCTTTCAACACCATCTAGGGAGTGAAAGGGTTACTATATATGGAGTAGACTTGAGTTTGATTATATTCAATTATTCAAGTATTACCACTATGTATACTATATTTGAAAATATGATATGTATGCATTGTTGATTTACATCCACGTGAATTTATTCTACGGCTTAATTTTGCTTTGATTTTTCTTTCAGGCTTCTTGATGTTTCGCCCAACGTGGAACGACGATTTGCCCAAATTTCAATGATATTACCACAATACAATCTTGGGAAGCCCTCTCTCCTCTCCCCTTCCACACACACTACCCACATTGATCTCTCTTCCCACCGACGTTCATATAAAGTCTCTAACCGTACCCCCACCCCCCAATCCCTTCCTCGTTGTTGTCGTGCGGGGGGTGGGGGTTAGGAGACTGAGACTGAAACCCAAGGTAAGGGATTACCCCCACCTAGGACCTCAGCCCTCGCCGCAACTAAGTTGGCATGGCCTTTTCTTCTCCCCCTTTTATTTTCCTTCCCCTTCTGTTCGTATCCTAAAGTGTGAGAGCCGTGCTGGCAAGATGAAAGACTGGTAATGCCACAAATGGTTTGTGAAATGAATTATACGCGGAATATTCACCAGCCCCCTTAAACAATCAGGGGAGGATATTCTTTATACAATCCTTAAGATAAGGATAAACCGAATATGCAAAGCTGACGCTCGCCCGGCCTATGCCTATGAAGGGACCCCGGTCTGTGCCGACTAATTCCGCGAACCGCCGATCTCTCGGATAAAAGGCCAACAAGTTACCACTCTACTAGCCCGGAGGTTTACAATCCTTAGGTGTAATTGATGTTATATACTATGAGTGCTCCCCGCCAATCCCTTGCCCTCTTTTGCCATTGGGGGGTGCTTATGAGACAGACTGGGACCCAATTCTGAGGGTCACCCCTATCTAGGTCCTCAGACCCCGACTCGACTAATTTTGCACCGTCTTTTCTTCCCTTCTTTAACCCTTCTACTACCCACTTCCCAAGGCGTGAGAGCCTTGTTGAAGGGATGTCTTTGTGCCAGTCATGAACGGCCTGGGGGAGCATGAACTACCCCATCCTCACTTATTACTACTTTGCAGCCTTATTATCCATCTCTCCGCAGTACTACCTCTCTTAATTAACACTACTTTCCCGTCAGTGTCGGCATTGTTGGCTATCCTGCCAAATACTGCCGCTCCACAGTCCAATACCCCGTGTGTACCCAGCGAGGTCATGATCGATCAAACTTCTGCTCACTCACGCTCATGCACCAAATGTGGTGGTTCCCATAATGTATTTTAGAAGGGCTGCACTACCAACAAGTTTGAGTCTGAAGTGGCAACTCGGCCTCACTTTACGCGAGGTCTGGCACTTATCCATCCTTGGCACAAAGGCGGCGTCGCGGTGGCATCCAGCTCGCCCGCGTCGACGAGGTTTTTCTCTTACTCCCTACTCCAGTGCTGCCCTTAGCTCCATCCCACCACATTCCTCCTAAGATGTATCTACATCCCCCCTGTATCTGTTTCTTCTCCATCTTACATTTCCACTTCCACCCCTTTCCTCTCACAATCATTTTTTTTTGCCATTCTAAATCCAGACACTCCAATCTCTGCTACTGTCTCGACGCCTGCTTTTCCTCCTCGTTCTACCTGAGCAGACAGTCTGATCGCTCCACCCCATATTTTACTACATCCTCTCTTCCACATAATTCTTTATCCACCTCTCAGATGCCTATCTTTTCTCAAAATAAAACCTCTGTTTCACTGACCTCTCCAACCAATACACCTCAGAAACTCTCGAAGACATTCAAAACTATCTAATCATGACCCAAGATGCCTACACTTCATTCATCTACCAATCTCTCTGCTCCCATTCCCTCAAAGTAACTGCCGATATCCATCCTCCTCCTATTCATGCTCCCCCTACACCCCTTTCTCCTACTCCCTCACAACACATCCCATTATCTCTTGCTCTTCTCCCTGGATATGCAAGTGACCCTTGCTCACAACAACCCCCACTCCTGGATTCTCTCTCTCCTGACATTTCTCCTGAAACTGTTATCTAATCACCTTTAAACCCCGTTTCCATTTACTAATCCCTAGTTTGCCATATGGACATACAGAATCCATCACTTCTTCCTCTGACAACTTTGATTTAATTATCCTTGTTATTCCCTACCTTAAGCTCCTTTACTCACCCTCTCTTTGTCCCCTCCAATGCCATGCCACCCTGAACTGCTATACGACTTTTGTACCACATTTAATCATAAACTAACCCCTCTCTTTATTCTCATCAAACTGCGCCCTTCTGTAATGCTTTATGACGTTTGATGTTTAACACATTTATTTTGCTTTATAACGATTAACCATTACTATATGTTTTATGTGGTTCTGTTTAAATACATTTAGATCCATGCTTTCGGTCATTCTTGGGCAGACTACAAAAAATCAATAATGATTGAAATTTTTTCAATGGAAAGGTTTACCCCATTAGTTAGACTTTTTCTAGTATTAATGTGTGTTGCTCCCAATTTTGTTTGTTATTACAATGCTGTCAACCACTTTCATCTCATTAAAAAAAATTCCCGTACCTCCAGTATTCCCCTTGTTGATTGCCTTCCATTGCTGGGTTAAAACCAGAACGTAAATCTCCGGTGTAGATTAGCGGCTGAGATTTTTTTAGATTTATTTTCCTATAGTATGAAGTTTTCGTCTGCAGTAATAGCCATACTACAGGCTAGAATGTACAGTAATGAGTCTCTTTCCATTATCAGGTTTCTACAGTATCCTACTAGTAATATTCTAATGTTTTAAGAGTGTGCAGGGTTCCTGCAGGTATAAGCTGATGAAATTTAAGACCTTTTAAAGACTGTTTAAGACTCATATAAATTGTTCTTGTGTTCCTTCCATCTTTTCAGAAATTGAATTACACGGTTATTCTCGTAGCTGTTTCTTATATCTTGGTTTGTTGCATCATATAAGAACATACCTATATGATTATGCATGATGAGTATTTACAAGCAGCTGTATCAATCTTTATGTACACAGAGTACTGTAATGGTGCTATTGCAATGCATTAATATTTATGTAATGAAATATAAAGTGATATAAGTAAGGCGAATCGTCTTGACTGCTAAGGAGTGGTTCAAATTTTTCAACATTTGCACGAGCGTACAAATCGCACGCTTGGGGGGAAGGGTTTAAATCTGCTCGCACGCTTTTTAAATTCCATGAAAAATGTCGTGTCGAGTGCCTAGTATCTGAGGCTGATACTGATACCATGTCCTGATGATTGTCCCAATTGATAATGATCCTAATACTTCTCCCAAGTGAAAATGACCCCTAATTATGAAAATGATCCCCTATCAAGCTTTTTTTTTTTGGGGGGGGGGGGCAGCATGGCTATCTGGAACATTTTCACAGGACTACCCTGTCTGCTCAAGGGCACGTCTGGCATCAACATTTTCAGACGTACTCATTTAGGGGGAGGGGGAGGGGGGGTCAGCAAAGAGAGTGCACTTTGAACGCTTGTGAAAGTGTTGAAAATGTTGAATCATCCCTAAAGAAAAAAGGGTCATCAACATTTTTCTCGCATCATGGAGCAGGGAGGTGTTCTTATGAGCTAAACCAGCATGTAAAACAGCACTACACCGTTGAGCCATTACAGACCATGTGCGATATGTAATACCCATGATGCAGACTTTTTGCCTACTGATATTCCGTATAAAAAAACATTGTCTGACATTCTTCATGGGAAAAAACGCCGATATTTTCATGTAATATATTTCATGTTTTTTTTTTACAATGTCAACAAAACTACTTGACTTTCATACCACAAATATCTCATTTTTTCACCTTTGTAATTTTAATAACATCAACAATGCTCATACTTAAAGTTATTGCATTGCCTTGTGGAGTATCTCCTGAGAATACTGCATATAAAAATGTAAAAAAATATATATTTTTGCTCTACTTATGTGCTTTTACAATGCATTAGTATATTACCATGTAAAGAGCATCCATATTCATTTCTACCAGCTTTCTGGTTCGTATTATGGTAAATACATGTAGAGATGAATAAAGTATGCATTTTTTTTATTACTTCGATGAGAGTGTAGAAAGCCCGAGGCTAAAAGAAAGAACTTCATGAGAAATGTACAGACTTGGATGTGAATTGCTAAATCAACACACACACACACACACACACACACACACACACACACACACACACACACACACACACACACACACACACACACACACACACACACACACACACACACACACACACACACACACACACACACATATATATATATATATATATATATATATATATATATATATATATATATATATATATGCATATATATATATATATATATATATATATATGTATATATATATACTATATATATATATATATATATATATATATATATGCTCGGTCGCCTGCATCCAAATATCAAACCTAAGCCTGCCTTGGGCATCTATCGGGCCTATAAAAGGTCAGCATAGGTTAACCCAGGCTGACTCTCACTCTCCAGGACACCCGTTACCGGCCGTAGCCCTGCCTCCCTGAAGGGCACACACACACACACACACACACACACACACACACACACACACACACACACACACACACACACACACACACACACACACACACACACACACACACACACACACACACACACACAC